CCATCATCATTAAATTTCCCATTGCCATTACAATTATTATTACAACTACCATGAACATTAGTTACTATCACCATTACCATTATTATTACCACAACTACAATACTACAATAACCAATTCCTCTACCAATGCTTTTACCACACCCAATACCATATCATTATTACCACTCCCATTACCATTGTTACCATCGTTACCATTATCGCCATCATTGCCTTTGCCACTACCACTACCATGGCCATCGCCACGCCCCTTATTGTTAACTTTAATATTACAAGAAACATTACCTTAACCTCTGGTATTACAATTATCAATACCATTGCCATTAACATCACCATTACCATTACCATTATTTTGACGATTACCGTTACTATTATCATTACCATAAGAAAAACAATTACAATAGCCCTTACCACTGCCATTACCCTTACCATCACGCTTGCCATTACCATAACGATTACTACTCCGATTATGATTACAATTCCCAATACAATTTCCAGTATTGTTACAATTTCCATTATTACTCAATTTCCATTACTATTACTATTACCACTACTTTTTACTATTACCTTTGCATTTATCACTAGAATTACCATTTATTTTATCATTAGCGTTATCATTCTCATCACTATTTTACGAAAACCATACATTGCCTTTATTATGATTTTTTCTTTAAGTTTTTTATTAAAACATACTGTATTTAGTTACTTAAAAAACACTCAGGAAAAATATTTAAAATTATACAAATACAATTAATGCACAAATAAATAAATTATAATCAAATAAAATATTGTTGAGCGGTCGAAAACACAATATTTTACAGTGTTGTTGTTGTTGTTCAATAAAAGCGTTCAAATAGGGGCCTTCCATTCCGCTGTATTTTCTAATAATTTGTTTGCTCTTGGAATTTTCATTTTCCCCACTCAAACTTTTTACTTCTTCTTGACTTCATAAACGGATTGAATGGCTTTCAGCAACCAGCCAACTTCTTCGACGGTCTTGATTTGATAATTGGCATATGTCTTCAGTGTTGGCAGCTCGGAGACGCGGAAGGTTTTACCCAAACCGTGCAGAACTTTGATGGCATCCTCATCTGTGGTGTCGTCACCAACATAGACGATCTTCAGCTTCTTGGCCCAATCGGCATCGAAGTGTTTCTCCAAAATCATTTTGGCACCCTCACCTGCAAAATAAAAAAAAGTAAAGAAGAGGTTAGTAAATGAAAAAGGTAAGGGCATTTTTATACAAGGGCAAAAAGTTTTAATTTTGGATTGCTAAAATATTTTCTAATAAAATTAGTTACGCCATGAATTTTATTAGAATTATTGAAACAAAAATTTTATATTTTTATATTACTTTGCACAAAACATTATTCACAGGTGTGAACAAGAGTTTATATGAAAATAATTTTACATATATAAAAAGTACCAAAGTTATTTACAAAAAATTTAAATTACTACTTTCAGTAATTGATGTTTTTTTTTTTGAATTTCGTACACCATCTGTCTGTTAAAGCAACTTAACTTCTTAACTTTTGTTTATTTTTCTTCTTCGTTTTGCGAAAATTTGCCATTTATCTCGATTTTTTTGTGGCATCATATAAATTAATGCGTTTGTCATAAAAAGATAATTACCCAAAAAACACCCACTCGTATGCCATTAATTAAAATCATATTCGTCGTTATGTCCACTTGAAGATATGCACACACATATGCACATACCTACAACATACGCATTCCATTCACATCAATAAAAATTTATGATGCAAAAGTGCAAATTTTCACATTTGTAATAAAATATGAATTCAGCCTTAACTGTGTTTCAGATCATTCACGAGATTGAAGAAATGTATATATAATAGAATGTGATAGTCAGGATGTTTACATATGTGTGCACAGTTGCCACTTTGGTACAATTGTACCAAATATGGGCATTTTTTCTCCGTTTGGGCCTTTTTTGTTTGTTTTGAGCCTTTTGAAGCAACGTTCGTTTGAATAAGCAGCACTTACGGTTTCAAACTTTATAAAAAATTTAGGAAAGTTCGAAAAATTCCTATCGAAATTTCAATTGTTTGATCTGAATCTTTAGAACATTTTTGGGTATGCAAGTTTATAGTGCATACTATTTTAGCCTAATTAAGTGCAAGTTTCAACCCCCTTAAAAAACCTCAGAAAAAAAATCGAAGCACACCTTCGTTTCTCATCTCAGTACCACTTAACGTACCACATTAATTTCAGTAAATTAAAGCTCGTTAAAAATCATTAAACCTTTGCTAAGGAAATACACATTTCGATTCGAAGGCAATTTGGAGTGTTTTTTTGCCGACCACAGGTGTAGCCTTTTTATATTTTTCATCATATCTTTGGCATTTACAGTCGGATCTTATAGTATATTTATATACCAAATATCTCAGTTCCTACAACGCTAACGTACCGCCCTAATGTCAGTAAGTTAAAGCTCACCAAAATTCATTAAACGTTTGGTAAGGAAGTATTTCGAATACTCCAGTAGAACTATTTAAAAATAAATTTATTTCCGAATGTACGAGTTAAGATAGCGGAGCCAGATATTTTACAGGATTAAGGTTTGCGACCCTAAGCGCCGGAAAGTTGAGACCCTTCAACTTTTTTGACGCGTTTATAAGACTGCGATTGTCTTGCTGTGTTTGACGAAATATCTCAAAGATAGGATTAATATATTCGACTTGAATAATCAGCCACAAACTTTAACGTTAACGAAATTGATCGAACTATCGTAATTCTCAACCTATAGGGTTATCGATATTTATTGGTAAACCAAATATGTATATGGGGTAATCGAAATCTCAAGGTTATGTAAGTTCATCGAGTTATCACTGCTTATCGAATTTTATCCTGTTACACAAGTGTAACGAGTTATCGAAATTTGTCGATAGCTTTCGAAAAATATGAAGCTATCAAAATTAACCGAGTTATTGAAATTCATAGAGGTATGCAAAGTTTATCGATTTATATTTTTTTGATTATCGATATTTGCCGATCCCTCGAAACGCTTAGTTATCGAAGTTAATCGAAAATTATCGAAATTAATCGATTTGTCGATATTTTTGGGTTATCGTGTTTTGGTGTTTTTGAAATTCAATGAATTATCGATATATATCATTTTATCCAAATTTATCGACAAACTGGAATGTATTTGGTCAATTTCAAGTCCTTCCACAGACCTTCAAAGATATAAAAAAAAAATTTAGTCTCGTTTGAGTTCCAAAACAGGAGATTTTCCGGTAAGCAATTTTTTACCTTATAAATTAAATGACGTGCTAAGTTAGAAAACCTCTCCAAGGATCTTAAAAAACTAGAAAACCTGTCGAATTTCGATAGTAACTGGAACTCCTAGCTAGTAACTGTTATTTTTCATTAAAATTTATGGCATTTAATGCCCAGTGAAAATCCGGCATAAGTCTTTCTCTAGGATGGCAGATTAAACACACAAAAAAAGTTCATATGAATGGATAAAAAAGATATTGATCGCATGGTGGTCAAAACAATTACTTTTATACAAAACTATCGATAAATAGATTGACAAGGAAATCGATAACATAATCGATAAATATACATGGCAATATCGATTAATTCATTGATAATTAAATATGTATACCAATTATCAAATAATCTAATAAAATAATGAATTTGAAATGGAGTAAAACTTTGTATGATTTTTAGCAATGTGCCAACTAATTACAGAAACTCACACTACAAACTTACTTATTTTTAACAGAAAATTTCCATCATTAATTTACTTCTAATTTATGCTTTAATTTATATAATCTCCTATGTAGTAAATAGGACACTCTCATGCGTACATATGCATAAGTTTTGAACAAAAACATGTTTTCGAAAACATAAATTTAAGCAATTTTAATGCAAAATAAACAAGAAACAAACCCCGCCGTTTTCAAAACAAATTCATAAACAAAATAATTGCATATAGTCATCGACTGAAATAAAGCCAAACTATACAAATCATAAAAAAACTAAAAAAAAAAACGCGAACCATACGAATGTGTACTTATATATAATTCTCACCTAACTGTGTGTCTAGTAACGACATATAATAGGTTCGAGTATTCGACTTTTTTCAAAAATTGGTTTTCGAGTTATTCGACAAATAGAAAATTTTACAAAAAAGTTAGGTATTTGCAAATTATTTTTATTTGCAAACAGCTGACGCAGAAACGTAGTAACAAATTCCAAACTTTCTTTCAATGTCAACTTCTTGTTTGAAGTTTTTTTTATACCTACTATCAAAAAACCAAAATTTGCCTTAATCAACGCCAAATCCATTCGGATTTATTCAAGCTCTAGCTACTGCTGCATATACATACATATATGTATATGTTTGCATTGTATCAAAGCGTTTCCCCGAAAATGTATGAAATGTTGCCCAAGTATGCAAAAATAAGCACGTTAGATGAATATATCCAAAAACAAACAAAACTGCCGCTAAAACTCATAATTTGGCCCTTAAAATTGGATTTCTATTCTTCCGATTAAATTTAACCAATCGAGAATAATAGTTATTTTTGGATTTTTTTCGATCATGTTATAATTGTTATTTTTGGATTTAGTTTTTTAAATCATATAAGATTTGAATCGGTCATAAAAAACCAATCGTCATTAGAACTGTTAAAGTTTATCGTAAAAATAAAAATCACAAAACAACAATTAAAAAAAATATAAAAAAACAGTAAAAAACAAAGATTCGTGATATTTAACGGTCCCTGATGTTATAGACAGGCCATTCAGCGAGAATCAATCAACATTTTCGTCAAGGGTGAGACTCTTTCAATTTCATCATGGGAGGCCAACACCATACATCGCAGACGAAGAGCTCCAATTTGAATAAGATTACCCGACGTCACTAACCACCTTTTCACATGGCCACTCGTCGGATGTGGCTCTTTCCTGAGCCTGCCGTTAGGTGAGAATGACGACAACCTATAGTCAAAAATTAATAAAAAAACTTCTACTGCCATTTTCAATAAAACAAATTCTGGTACTGAAATAAACTAGGTGAAACCCCGATTTCTTAAATTGTAAAAATCCGGTTACTCGACATTTTATTTACGTATTATTAAGACGATTTCTTTGACTTTTTTTAGTTTTTCTTTTTTTTGCTCACCGGATATCCAGGCATCATCCATGCGCACCAATATATCGGTTTATAAAACTACCGTGAAATAAAAGAGAGAACCGTTTTCAAATAAGACCATTTTTACTCTCTACTGTAACATTTGGACAATCTCACATACATGACGATTTGAATTAGAAAGCATGCACACTGATATAAATATTATACGAAACACAAAAACTACCGGCACACAAACACAAGTGAGCTTAAAGTCACAAAGTAAAAACATTTTATTTTTAGCGGAAATTTTTTAAAGATTGAAGATGAAAACACTACAAATTTGTAGGCGTGAATCGGTGTGTATGGATACATACATACATACATACATAGCTATATGCAAGCAAAGTGTTCATAAAAATTTCTTTGCAAGTTGGAAAATAAATTAGTTTGAGAGCATCAAAGAAAATGAAATTTTTCGAAATTTCTTTTTTATTTTAGACGAAAATTTGCAGCTGCATGCAATGCTTAATGCCTTAGTTAGAACTCGTGCATTATGTCTGCATTGGCCCTAAGCAAAATTTGTCATAAATAGAATCACGAAAAGGGAAAGGGAAATGCGAGGTTTATTGAATAATGCACCAGCCGCAAGTTGACAGCGGCAAGTCACAGAGCAGACAACTAAATGACATGGGGAAAGTGCAACCCATGCGAGTAGGTGTGCGACTGGGCGTATGCCTATGATACATATACATACATAAGTACATACGTATTTATAAAAATGTTTAATTTCAAATCCATTACACTCTTAAAAATATGTATGAATATTGAATACGAAAAAATAAACAAAAGCCAAACTGTTCGAATCCTTGGCGCGGAAATGACTAATGTGTCATCAAATGATATGCAAAGCCTATACATATATATGTATAGCCTATAGATGAGCTATTTTCTACACAAGTACGATTTCATCTAATAAAAGTTGAAAAATAAATTACAAATTTCAATTAAAATTATCCCAAACCACTTTGTATGCAGTATCTATCAATTTGAAGGAATGTGAGTTTATTCCGAGCG